AAATAATCTGTTTTATGTTAATTGATGTTAATCTTTGCACATACTTGACCTAAATGGTTACATTGTACTCACAGATGTGAAACACTGTAGGTCCCAGATTTATGGATACAATTTAGGACATTACACAGAGGAAATTATGAAAAACATTACTGTATTTCACTGCTATAAATAAACATCACCCTCATAACATATAAATTAGTGAACTATAAACAGATATACAAATATACATTAATGTGTATATTAATTTTTTTTTAATGTGAAATGCATACCAATTTGCATATTGTATCAATCCACCATTATAGACAAAATACTTCATGAAGAACAATGCAACAATCAATTAGAAAGCTAACTAATTCATTCACAAACTTTGGGTTTTGCAGCTACATGTGATAATAAAAAAAATTCTCATGTTAACCCAGAACCCAACTGGGGAGAAAAATACAAATTTAAATCAAATTTCCACTGAAGAAAAATAAAAGTTACACAGAAATAATTACAGATATAACACACTGAGCCATTTGTAAATTTGGACAGAAATATTCCCAATCTCTAGTCTTGTTATGCCTGGCAAAAATCAGAGATAAGGCAAATAAAATATAAAGTTACACAAATATCAATTATATCTGCTGAATAAAAATAAGTAGAACCCAAAAAAGTAAACAAAAATCATCATTACTAGCATCTGGGGATATATGTTTAAAACATTTTTTACTTTTTAAAAAGTGCATAACCAGTTTTGCAATGTCACAAATAATTTGATGCTCATTGTTCAAAGAAAATTATCATGAAATAAAAGAGACACATTCTATTGATATTAAATTATAATATCATTTAAACTACTGGGAAGATATGATTTATTGTCATAGTGGTAAATAGCAATGGTAAACAACTTTAAAACAGGACGTGACCATAAAATAACACTGCAGGTACAAGGTGCCAGGATTGCAGTTAGTTAAAACCCATTCCAATGTATAAGATGGATACAGCTGTCATCACAACATAGCTAATTTTTAAGGTATAACTGCACATTTAAGAAATAATTGCTCCTCAAAACAAACATTGGAAATTGAAGGAGAAACCAAAGATTTTTCAACAGTCAAGATATTTTTTGATTCAAAGTTTTCTGTGAAGTTTATATACTTTGCAGCTGTTGTAAAACCATATTTTTAAACACCAGAGCAAATTCAGCAATATTTTCCATTTCTAACTGATCATAAATTGATCACTGTTTGTGAATTTTGTTTTTGTTTCACGAATATTATCCTACAATGAGGAAAAAATAGCTTAGTCTCTCTCTAAAGTGGTAACCTTAAACCATGCTGCTCTTAATTCATGCTTAGAAATTGCACAGTCAAGAAATTGGAATATTAGACATTGGCCAATGTCAAACTCCACATCTTGTCCTGGAAGAGTTTTTTTTGCTGAGAATGTCTGTGAGGCAATGAAGCATTTATCAGTAACTGTGTGTCATTGATCTAACCACCCTACACTGGGTGGGAACGCAAGTCTCAGGCTCACATCAGAAGGATCCTCAAATTTGCAAAGCAGGATAAGACAAGACTGAAATGCAAAGCAGTTGAACCTATACAGCAATCATATTGGCAATGAGGTATCCTCCTTTACTTAGGAAGGTGAGGAGACCAAATGCAGACACTTAAATTTGTAACACATATAAAACTACCAACATAGATAAAACAAAAATCAATAAAACTTAAACTTAATATCAATAATAAATGCATTTCTGATATAATTCCTTTAAGCTTAAACACTTTAATTATTTCTAACAAGATTAGATATTTTATTGCATTATCTTTAGCTGAGTAACTTTCTGTAAAACTACAGGTGTTTCTACAACAAAACATTTTAATCTACTTTAAAATTCTGTTGAATTTAGAGAGAACTTACAATGAGGGAATACTGAAACACATTACAATAGATTCCTGAGTAATGAATATTCAAAAGGCCCCAAAAGAATGTTGGTAGGACTACTTCTATAGAAGAATACTAACCGGTTCCTCCCAACTAAATGAAAATGTACAATAAATACAGAAGTCTGTCAGCACAAAATTGTTTTGGAATCGCAACTTAGGATGTTCCTTCCTATTCCACATACTATTCTTCTGCCTGATGAGGCAGACAGTCATCTGTGGGATGTAATGTAAAACTACCATTATGCAGGTTGACAAGAGAAAGAGTTATTTGCCTTGCTTTTTCGTTCCTCCCTGTTAGAATGAAACAAGCTTCCATTGTCAACAACACTTCCTCTGAAGGCCCAGGTAATAGACTTGACATATTTGAAATTACATTCATGAAAGTACTTTATATCAATCAGTTGGGTACCAAAAATGTAGCAAACCAGTACCATAGATATAGATTTTGAGTATTCCGTCATAGTTAGATATTGTATTTTTATGAATAAGTTCTGTCAGAAATCTTTATTACAAGATTGGCAGTACACTGGGTCACAGGAAAAGCAAAATGAAATTACATAAATATATTTCCAAAAAGTAGTGTGCATATTTCACAACTTTTATTTATACACATATTACACAATTTATGTTTAGCACAAATTATGTGCAATATTATAAAATTCTGATCATAACATTGAAAAATTAAAGACTACGAATCACTTAACACACCCTCAGTAATTTACAAAAGCAAAAATTTCTCCAAGCAGGCTCCTGAAGTAGAGGTAGAAATTTGCAGTACACATCAGCCCCTTGTGGGCTGCAAGAGAAAGTGCACCAGGAACAAGGGATAGCTATGACATCTATCATCTATAGGCCCAATAATTACTACCACATCCAGCTCAATTGATCAAGTCAACAGTTACAGAAACATTTTCAGGCTAAATTAAAATTAACAGCAATTCAATTGAGCGAAACTGGTTACTAATTGTAGTCTAAATCAACCAGCTTTCCACTTGTGTACTCTCAAATTAAACAACTCTACCTCCTTGCACGAATGGTTGAAAGTACGATGTACTACGTCTTACTTCAAATCATCCTCTCATAGATTCAGATGTTTTCAGGTTTTTAAAACCCAAAGTTGCTATTTCCAATTTTTTTTTTTTTTTACTTTCTTCTTTCCGTTTTGTTGGCATCATATACAAAGGCATTAGCTCTTCATTCAGGTTTATTAATTAAAACGACTTCACAATGCTCGCCTGCGCTCAGCTGGAGCACCTGCTCTGATCCTACACATTTGGCGGCGTTCCACTCAAATGGAGCTTAATAAAGATAAGCACTTAAAACTACAAAATTAACTGCATAAGCATGACAAATTGGCACCAATTGGCTGATGCATGCTGAAAACAAATCAGATTTCTTTTGGAGAATAATGGAACAGTAAATCAAACTCAATCTAGAACTTTGCCCCCTCCAGATTGATTTGAACATTTTTCTTACCAATCTCTTGAATTCCATAGTAAATAAAGTCAAATTCATTCAAAATATGGCCATCAGGGTTATATTCCACTCTTTGTCCCATTCTCCTATCAAAACTGTTCTTGTCAATCTCCAGTGCTCCTTCATTGTCAAAGTATTTAAGTGAAAGTGAGAATTTTTCATTACAATCCCTTCACCACCTTCCCTTTGTCTGCTTTTGTGACCTCTTACTGCCTTTTCCTTTTGGTTGTAGCCTTTGCTCAGTGGTAGCCCTCCTACCCGAGCTAAAAGGAACACAGGACCAAGTGTAGATCATTCAGTGCCCAAAGCTTGCTCCATCATTCAATGAACTCATGACTGAGCTGTATTACAATTTCATCTACCATCTTGGTTGGTCACGTGTTCAAGCCTCAATCCAGTACTTGATTATGTCATTCAGGCTGACACTTCACTATAAAATTGATACAATGTTTTGCATTAGAGGAGATATCTTTCAGTACAACACCAATGCATCAGAACTAGGTTAAGTGCCTAGAAAACAGCTTTAACCTGTGATCTTCACTGAGCCACATTTTTGGCCCAGCACTGTGAACTGATTCTTTGACCACTAAGGCTTCATAGAAACAAAGAAGATAGCAGCAGGAGGCGGCCATTCGGCCCGAGCCTGTTCCACCATTCTTCACAATCATGGCTGATCATCCAACTCAATAGCCTAATCCTGCCTTCTCCCCATAACCTTTGATCCCATTCACCCCAAGTGGTATACCTAGTCGCCTCTTGAATACATTCAATGTTTTGGCATAAACTACTTCCTGTGGTAATGAATTCCACAGGCTCACCACTCTTTGGGTGAAGAAATGTCTCCTCATCCCGTCCTAAATCGTCTACCCCGAATCCTCATTCTGTGACCCCTGGTTCTGGACACATACACTTCCCTGCATCTACTCTGTCCAGTCCTGTTAAAATTTTATAAGTCTCTATGAGATCCCCCCTCAATCATCTGACCTCGACATGCTCTACAATTCTTCACCTGAACTCTTCTACCTTTCCTTCTCCTCATTTTAAGATCTTAAACCAAGATTTTGACCACTTGTTTCTAAAACTGCAACCTTTGATGCAGCAGCACTTTTTGTCTTAACCCCTGAAAGGTTTTAGGATATTTATCCGCATACTATATACAGCAAACTTTGTTTTAACCGGCACCTTATGAACCAGCACTCGTGATAAACCGACAAAAATTATATACCTGAAATACCAGAAGTTTAGTTTATTATCACAATATCCATGTAGTCAGTTGAGGGTGTGAATGAGAAGGCTCTCTGCTGCTAAGTTGAGTTATTGAAGTGGTTTATGCTGCGAATTAAGTATATTACTGATGTTTATACTCCACACGTTACATTTCTATTATTTAGTGTGTGGCTTTACATTGATTATGTGGACCTCATGATCAGCTGGAGTATTTGATCAACTGGCACGCTCCTGGTCCCAACGGTGCCGGTTAATACAAAGTTTGCTCAATGCACAAGTGCCTCATTTATAACTTTGACATCACTAAATGATGCCTGGAATGACTGCAGCCTATTTATAATTCACTTATGAGTTCACATGCCTCACCTGTAAATCATGCCCGGAGAGCCTGTCTGTCTTAGGGAAAGTCGAGCTGGAGAGTCCGTGGTTGATTCTGGATACATCAGGTCAGCAGCTTCAGTCAAAGGTATGGTATTGTCTCACACTGTCACTTGCAAAACCTGCAGCAACAGAAAACCAGAGACAGAGACAAAGACATTAGGAACTACATTTTCAGACAAAAGCTCATTACTTGATTGCACTTGGTGGGTTTTTTTTTCATTCACAGGATGAGGATGTCACTGGCTGGGCCAACATTTATTGCCCATCCCTAATTGCCCAGAGGGCAGTTGAGAGTCAACCACATTGCTGTGGGTCTGGAATCACATGTAGGCCAGACCAGGTAAGGATGGCAGTTTCCTTCCCTAAAGGACATTAGTCAACCATATGGGTTTTTACAACAATCAACAATAGACTCATGAACAAAAACAAAGTTGCTGGTAAAGCTCAGCAGGTCTGGCAGCATCTGTGAAGGAGAAAACAGAGTTAACGTTTCGGGTCTGGTGACCCTTCCTCAGAACTGATAGTGGCTGGGAAAACGTCAGTTTATATGCAGAAAATAGGGAGGTGGGTGGAGTAGGGAGTAAACGATAGGATAGAGCCCGAAGAGAGAGAAAGACAGTTGGACAGACAAAGGAGTTGCTAACGATCAGGCTGGGAGGGTGAATAGTTGTTAATGGGGACTGTTAGTGACTAACAACAGGGGGTGTGTAATGGCAGGCTATGTGGGGTGGGGGGCTGGGACATGGGAGAGTTTAGGCCCTAAAATTATTGAACTCAATATTGAGTCCAGAGGGTTGTAGGGTCCCCAAGCGGAAGATGAGGTGTTGTTCTTCCAGCTTGCATTGGGCTTCACTGGAACATTGTAGCAAGTGTTGCTTCACCTGGAAGTATGTTTGGGCTCTTGGATACTGGGGAGGGAGGAGGTAAATGGGCAGGTGTTGCACTTTTGCCGGCAACAGATCATCAGACGCCATTTCCGCCTCCTCCAGCAAGATGCCACCACGAGACACATATTCCCCTCCCCTCCCTTGTCCGCCTTCCACAGGGGCCGTTCCCTCCGGGACACCCTGGTCCATACATCCTTCACCCCCAACACCTCCCCACAGCCCTAGGGCACCTTCCCCTGTAACCAGCGAAGGTGCAACACCTGCCCATTTACCTCCTCCCTCCCCAGTATCCAAGGGCCCAAACATACATTCCAGGTGAAGCAACACTTCACCTGCACTTCCCAGAATCTAGTCTACTGCATTCGCTGCTCACAATGTGGTCTCCTCTACATTGGGGAAACGAAGCGTAGACTTGGCGACTGCTTTGCAGAACATCTACGTTCTCCTCGCAAAAAAGACCCTGAACTACCCACTGCCTGCCACTTCAAAGCACCACCCTGCACCCTGGCCAACACCTCTGTCTGTGGCTTGCTACAGTGTTCCAGTGAAGCCCAACGCAAGCTGGAAGAACAACACCTCATTTTCCGCTTGGGGACCCGACAGCCCTCCAGACTCAACATTGAGTTCAATAATTTTAGGGCCTAAACTCTCCCATGTCCCAGCCCCACCACCCCACACACCAGGCTTTGTTACCACATAGCCTGCCATTACACACTCCCTGTTGTTAGTCACTAACAGTCCCCATAAACAACTATTCACCCTCCCAGCCTGATTGTTAGCAACTCCTTTGTCTGTCCAACTGTCTTTCTCTTTCTTCGGGCTCTATCCTATCATTTACTCCCTACTCCACCCACCTCCCTATTTTCTGCATATAAACTGACGTTTTCCCAGCTACTATCAGTTCTGAGGAAGGGTCACCAGACCCAAAATGTTAACTCTGTTTTCTCCTTCACAGATGCTGCCAGACCTGCTGAGCTTTTCCAGCAACTTTGTTTTTGTTCCTGATTTACAGCATCCGCAGTTTTTTTGGTTTTTAACAATAGACTCATGTTCATCGCTAGATTCTTAATTCCAGATATTTATTGAATTCAAATTCTATCATCTGCTGTGGCAGGATTTGACCTCAGGTCCCCAGAACATTATCTGGATCTCTGAATTAACAGTCCAGCAATAATACCATTAGGCCATTGCCTCCCCTAATTAATGAAGATGGATATTAATGTAGATAGTAGGCAATGCATTTATCCAAAAGAATTTGACAATGCAGAGCTCTTGTGGAAATGAAATCTCATCTTCACAAGGACAACATCTTGTGTGTTTGTGTGGTACAATCAACATACTAAATGGGATAGATTCAGAATGGGCCTAGCAGTTCAAAGCTGAGCATTCATGAGGTATTGTAGTCCATCAGTAGCATCAACAGTCCAACACAATCTGAATAAAACCTCAGGCCTGTCCCTCAATTTAATATTACCATCAACATTGGTTGACTTGGAAGTGTAAGATGCTGCTCTTGGCGTGCTTTCAGGCAAGTCTAAAGGGCAAAGCTAAAACAGAAGACTATATTCAAGCTAAACAACAGAAGCAATCTGTTAAAACAGAGCAGATAATCCCACAACCAACAAATTAAACCCAGTCATGAATGCCAGTGGTCAATAGAACTAATTGAAGGAGGTGGTTTTATATAATTCCATCCTCAATAGTGGTGTAGCCTAGCATGCAAGTGCAAAAGATAAGCTGTAGCATTCACAATCACTTTCAGTCAGAAACGCCAAGTGGATGATCCATTTCAGACTTGACCGGTGGCCAGCTGCACACCCAGCATAACAGCTGCTATTCAGCCAATTTTGTTCACTCTTTATGATATTAAAAACCAATTAAGCTGGGGTCTGACAACATCTTGGCTGTAATGCTCCAAAACTATCAACACTTCTAGCCAAGGTGATCCAGCTCTAACAATATTACACTTGACCAAAATGGAAACATAGGACTTGAGAGCAGGAATAGGCCATTCAGGCCTTTGAGCCATTTCACTATTTATTAAGAAAATCACAAATTATCCAAGTATGTCTGGTCCACTAAAAGCAGAATAAATCCAATCCAGCCAATAATCATCACATCTGTCTACACTCAATGAAGAAACACTTACTTGAAATTAACTTGCCTACATATGGTCAGTTTGGATTCTTGCCAAGATGTGTGACTCCAAACCTTATTACAGCTTTGTTGCAAACATGACGAAAAGCTGAGTTCTGGAGGTGAAGAAAGAATGATTGCCTTTGATATTACAGCAGCAACTATCTGAGCATGACATCAAGGAAGTCTAATAAAATTGAAGTAAATGGGGAAGCTCTCCACGGGCTTGTCATATCCCAAAAGGTGGTTTTGCTCTTTAGCTCATTAATGTCAGTTCAATGCTGCTGGAATTACTCATTAGGGTAGTGTTCCAGGCCCAACTGTCTTCAGCCACTTCAACACTGACCTTAGAAGATCAGAAGTAAGAATGTTTGCTGATGAATGCATTGTTCAATTCTATTTGCAATTAGTCAGATACTGTGCAGCAAGATCTGGGCAACGTTCAGTCTTAGGCTGCTGAGAAGTGACAACATTTGCACCACAAGTGTAAGCAAAGATTCAGCACCTTCAGTACTGAATCACATCTTGCAGGATTCAGCAACATTATTCTAGACTTCCTCACCAAAACACTAACAGTCATCATTGGCCAGAAACTTATCTGAGGCAGCCAAATAAGCACGGCAGCAAGAATAGCATGTCAAAGGTTGGAAATTTTGTGATGAGGAACTCATTTCAATGACTTCCAAAGCCCGTCTATCACCTACTAGGCACACGCAAGATGTTCACCACCATTGAGAACAAAACAATCCACTTGACTGGAACACTGAACCATCTACCGTAAGCATTCACTCAACACCTGCATACGGTGGCAGTGTGCACCATCTACAAGCTGCACTGCAGCAACTTGCCAAAAGCTTCCTGCAGCCACTCCTTTCAAATCCACAACTACCCAAGATCAAGAGAAGCAATGCACTGGATCACCACCACACGCAAGTTTTCCAAGCCACACATATATTGGATATATGTGCCATTCCAGTATTGCTGGGCCGAAGTCATGGAACTCCCAAGTGGACATATCTACATCACATGAACTGCAGCAGTTCAAGGTAGCTACTCACCACCATATTCTCAAGGCAAATACTGAAAGTCAGTAATGCTGCCTCTTCCACCCAACTCCCATGAACAACTAAAGTACAATTTTGAATAAGAACACAATCTGGCTATGCCTTCATAGCCAAATACACAGGGTAAATATTTAAGTGTTAAATTAGCATTAAAGATACATGTAGGTACCTGTAATATCTACATTTTCAGGACAGTCAGATTATTTTGGATCATAATTGTTGTAGATTGACACAAGGCAGAAATGGAAAACAATTAGTTTACCACTGTTCATATAGTTTACTACTGTCTAAAGGTGGCTGACGGAAATGAAAGTTTTTTTTATGTGGAAGTGGGTAAAAGACATGGTGGTCCTTTGCCCACTCCCACATCCCTGGCCCGGTCATCACACAGACTGCTTTCATCATAGCCAACCCATTTTCACCTTCTAATGGTCCGTATTATCATCTTTTCTTCCTGGCTCACCATTATGCATCCCTTTGTCTGCCTAACTGCTGTTTTTTCTCTCTCTCTCCATCTCTGAACTCCATTTCCAGGTATCTCATACTCCTTTTCTCCCCCACACTGTCTTCAGCATCTGTATCACATTCTCCTCGCTACTGTTAGTTCTGAGGAAGGGTCACTGGAGCCAAAACATTAATTCTGCTTTCTTTCCACATATGCTACTAGACCTGCCGAGTTACTCCAGCAATTTCTGTTCTTGTTCAGATATATTCTGTTGGTCAGCCTGCCAAAGCAACTTCAATGCTTTCATTTTTCTTGTTGAATAATTTTTAACTGAATTATACTGATCTCATGTATAATCTGTTCCACCTTTTAAAATAAATGAGACAATATTCCAATGTCTTACAAAGAATTTTCAAAGACAAAAACACAATTACTGTCTCTTACTAATGACCACCAGAAAGAATGAGCGCCCTTCAATTGCTAGTAACATAGGGAAATACAGAGCAATCATCCAAAGTCAACAGTTTCA